GGGTATTATCTGTAATTGTGTCTGGTAGTGTTTCCATCTCCTGCTGAGGAATGGTACTGGCCGGTAACTCATACGAAAGCCAACACGCATCCATCATATCGGGCACGGGAGGTGGTTATCAATATGTCGACATATGACGCCAAATGAATCAGGCTCTTGAACAATGACAGGGGCCTCTTGAACGGTGGGAGGGGCTTCTTCGATGATGATAGGGGCCTCTTGAACGAAATGAGGCGCCTCTTGAATGATGATAGGTGCATCGGGTTTATTCTTACGGAGTCTTGGCACTAGTGGGGTGAACGGAGACGTAATGGCACATGCACGTCGTTTGATGCGTGAACCCCATCGTGCAAGAAAAACCCGACGTAAAACATCTACCTTAACGGGCCGCTGAAAATAAATTAATATATAAATCAGTAAATAAATAAATAAATAATGCCGAAAAAAAATTATTTGCATTTTTAGTATAGTATTAAACAAATTTACCTCATTGCGTAGAGTATTAACCTCATTCTGCAACAATGAAACAATCTCGCGTAGAGCGACAACCTCATCACGTAAGGTAGATACCTCACCGCGTAGCGCACCATTGTCATCGCGTAAAAAATCCACCTCACCACGTAAAGATCGAACCTCATCACGCCATGCATCATTATATTCACGTAAAGTACCGACCTCATGATGCAAAACACTGACCTCATCACGTAATTCCCCTAACTCATCCTGTGGAGGTGGAGAACAGGGAGATGGAGATAGACGGAGCCTCTTTGTCGGTCACCTATCATGAGGTGATGGTGGAGAAGAGGCTCGATGATGTGATGGAATAGGTGATGGTGGAGGTGGAGAAGAGGCTCGACCAGGTGATGGCTCCGGGTGTCGAGCTATAGAATCGGCCCGATGGGGTGATGGCTCTCGAAGTGGGGGGTGCTCATCATCCATCCCATCAAAAAACCGCTTACTAGCTTGCCACCAATCAGTGTCAAGCTCAGCATCTGAGGGTGTCAACCTCTGTAATGGGTAGTTGGCCTCCTAACAATATAAAAGCTCAAACAAAGTTAAATGTGTACTAGTAATAACTTGTTTATATATGGTAGTATTTGTGTGTTAACTTACATCATTAATCGTCGTATATGGGAGTAAGTCTTCTCAATCCAACATGCAGATCCTCTTCCAGGTAATAGCCCTAGGAATATCATTTGATCTTTTTATCGCATATGTCAGCATGATGGGGAAAGCCTCAAATATCCAAATCTACAAACAATATAATACACAAACATTAGTAATTGTTAAATAATTAATTATAATTTTGGAAATATTATATAGAAATTCTTGCCTTAAAGGCCCAAGTAAAGTCTGTCAAAGTGTATTTAGAACCATCGCCCTGCAAACTTTTTTGGTCGGCATACAAAAGTAGTAAATGGCATACTTTGACAACATCAAGGCCATCCATCCGAGTAAAACCATATTTATCAAATAATCTCTTCAAGTCGTCGACATGTATACTCGGCTTCGACTTTGCCATCTAAGGAAAAACCTGATATAACCATGATGGGCGGGCGATATGACTAGTGTACCGACCTACATCATTGTGTCCGAAGCGTAGACCGATGATTAAGCAAAACTCCTCCCGCCCAAAACAAGTATACGTCGGTGTCGGAGGAAAATGAAACCATATCTCTTCATCACCACGTTGTACCCCCTCGAGTAGATCGTTAGTCATAGTCTGAAGAAACAAATGTGTCAACATAGCATCTCCACCCGAATGTTGTACTTTTAGCCATGGCCTGAAGCAAGTATCCTCAAACAATTTTCTTTGTAGAGGTATAAGTGTCGACACAATTTTAGTGGCTATGCTTAATTTATTCCTTAAGGTCAATTGAGCCGAAAAAAATTTCTACAAAAACAATAAACATACCAAGTTAGATATACCAAAAACTACAAATTATACACTACAAACAAACATGATATTAAATAGTGAAAACAAAGCCAAATATGTTTCAAACTAGCACGGTATTCACCCAAGTCATTATTCCATCATAGTTCACAAAATGCATCAGATAACATTCCAGAAGTAAGCACTTATATAAACATTTAAAAGGACAACATATAGGTTTAGTGCAGGTTCAATAACATTCCAGAAGTAAGCACTTATATAAACATTTAAAAGGACAACATATAGGTTTAGTGCAGGTTCAATGACAACATAAAGAGTAGTAGTTTATTCTTGAAACTTAAATTAGCAACACTGTGAAGTTAGTATTTGTCTTTGTTTTTTGGTTGAAGTAATGCAATTCATTCAAGTTTTAATTTGCAGAATAAAAGAAGTTTCTGAAACTTAAATTCGCAACGCGAAAATGAAAATCGCGTTGCGAATTTGGTGTTGCGATTTAGGGTTTCTTCAACAAAAAGACAAATACTAACTTCACAGGGTTAAAGACTAAACAGTTTAGCAGTATTGGCAGCAACCGAATGAATTTAGCAATCTTAGTGAAATGGTTAATCTAATAATAATACAAAAATTTCAAAATAAAAATAAGAGATTAAAAAAACTAACCCTCGGTGGTTGATTTTCCATTTCTGACCGTGAATGGTTGTGAGGGTTGATCTGAGAGATGGAGATAGACGGATTTCGTCGGAAATGGGAACGGATTTCATCGGAGATGGGGATGGATTTCGTCGGAGATGGGGACGGATGTCGCCGTAGAGAGTGAGAGATGGAGATGGGATTGAGTTGTGCTTTAGGGTTTTAGGTTAGAGATGATTTGCGATAATACTGTTTACATTTGTGTTGCGAAATTAATATTGTGTTTCGCGTAAAAACATTTGACTTTCGCGTTGCGAATTTGACTTCTGTGTTGTGAATTTGACTTTCGCGTTGCGAAATTGGAAACTGGTTGCGAAATTGGAATTCGCGTTGCGAATTTGTTGGTCATTTTGGCAAATCCAAAAATAGTTTGTTAAATTTGTATATTATAAGGCATTTTTGGTCACTGAGATTATTTTCTCTTATAAAAATTAAAACTCAAAAAGTAAAAATAAAAAAAAACAACAATAATTTAAAATTTCTATAAAATTTCCAAAAGATAAAATGATAATAATAATTACATTTGTGAATGAAATGAATTGGATTGAGATGATTGTCCTCTTAATAGACTTAGATAGTATTTAATTTAGATTAATCGATCAATAGATTCGATATCGATGGTGATTATCCTCAAATTTTTCAGAGTTCGATGATTGAAATCTCATTTTGATAATTGAAAAAATCCTTTGAATCGTTAAAAAATCGTGTATAAATTGATTAAATCCATTAGATTAAAACCATAATAGCACAAAATATCATTAATGTTTAACTAAATAGTCACTTTGATCAATATCTTTTTAAAGCTCCTTGGTCGCAATGTTTTATTTTGAAGTAAAATACCACTTAATTGGAAGAAAATCGTTAATTGACTAACAGTCAACGCTTATAACTGACATGATCAGTCTTACAACAAACGTGATCATGAATCAACTAATGATTTCTATCTAACTAGGGAATATTTATCCTAAAACGAAACAATGTGGCCAAAATCTTAAGAAAAACCATAGAAAACAAAATAACTATTTTATAAAACATTGAGATAAATTTTAATATTATACCGTTAAATTTTTTCTTTTAATAATAAAAATCTACATAGATTTTCAATATAATGCAGAAGCTCCAATAGACTTAAACCCTTATCTTGTAGATAATAGATAGATTATAAGAAAAAGCAAACACGACTTGTGGATAATATATTATCTCATTTTTCTTCTCTTGATAGGCCTAAAATAATTAAGGCAAAGACTTAGGGTTTGCTAAATTTAGCTTCAGTGGTCAAAGGCAAAGACTTAGGGTTTGCTAAAATATGTTCTAAAAAATATCTAAACACGTAAAGGCCACAGACTTCACCCCTCATCCATAAATTTCCTCAAATTTCAACAGATATTTCTTTAATATTTTTTATTCTTTTTAAAATTTTATGAATTTATTCCTTCTAAATTTTTATAAGTTTATCCTTCTTAAATTTTTATAATAAATTCGTCATTGATGTAAACTATTACCTACGTCCCTATAAATCTTTCACCGCGCATCGTAATTTGTTGATTTAGCTAAAAACTATTTTACTTTTTACAACATCAAAATCTTTAGTGCTTAGTTTTGACCCTTGTTCTCCGAAGGTTTCAACGGCTGATCATCTCGCTTTTGTAGCTGCCGCTCCATGAATCTATACGCATAAATTACATGCACGCATGATCTTCTTCTTTTGTTTCCATGGTTTTTCATCTGTCATGCAACGAGATCACACGTTAGTTTATCTATGCATAGTCGACGAATGATTTGTTCTTTGATTTTTCTGTATTTTTTTTTTCTTGTGGAAAATGATATGATACCTAAAGACGATATTCTTTCAGTTTATTTTAGTCGCATGCATGACAGAAAGTCTTTCAACGTGTTGAATCATAATTGTCTCGTAAGGTCTTTGAATAGCTTATTTTAATGACCATCCAGCTCAGTTGGTAGAGCACAAGGTTCTTAACCTTGAAGTCGTGGGATCGAGTCCCACGGAGGGCATTTCATAATTTGGAGGTCTCTTACGGAAGTTGCTCTCAACCTGGTGTTGGGGGTAGCCTACATCTTACCTCCCCTTACCCCATATATATATGGGAAAAAGGGACAGCCATTTTACGTAATGGACTAAATATATTTGGTCATAGAAAATATTATTAGGCATAAATGTTTATTAAATAAATTTAATCATTAAATAATCTTTATTCCTTAACCATTAGAATTATAAATAATTAATCTATCACCAATTAATAAATAATAAATTAATATTAAAATAATAATATAAAAGTTAGGAGTTGCCTGTGTCGCAGTCGAATTAACTCAGTTATATGTGTCGCCAAACAGAAATTATCCTTCCAAATTCATTATATATATATATAAGCCCTTGACAGATTTGGTTAGCCCTGATTGTGTTGAGGCTTTTCAATATAGTTTCCATGGCGGAGCATGTTAAACATTTTCATGGTGTTTGGTCTTTCGGCCTTTAAGGGATTGGTCTCGACGACTGCTACTCTCATATTCTTCGTCTTCCTCGTTTTTGCAGCTCTGCTTAATTGGATGGATATTGTAAGTCTCCCCTTATATTTATATTTTGATTCTTATTAATAAAAGATCGATGTAAATTCATTTTCTTCTTCTTTTGGTCTATTTGTTTCTCAGCCTATGATATGGGAGACTTCATTTGGCCAGGCGATTTTTACTTCACCAAGTGCTAGAATTCATCACGAGATGATTGAATATCCACTAAACTGTTCTAATGTACATAATTTAACACAAAAATGTCCGGACGATTACCCATCGGTGTTCGAGCCCGAAGAATCGACGACCGCAACTTGTCCGGATTACTTCCGATGGATTCACCAAGATTTAAAACAATGGAAAAGTTCGGGGATTACAGAAGACGCGATCGAGAGGGGAATTCCGAGTACGAATTTCAGGCTCGTGATCGTCAACGGGAACGCTTATGTGGAGAAGTACAGACCGGCGTTTCAAACCAGGGACGAGTCTACAATATGGGGCATTTTGCAGCTCCTAAGGTTGTACCCTGGAAGAGTACCGGATTTAGACCTTTTGTTCTTCACTGGAGACAGGACTCGGATCATGAAAAGAGAATATAAAGGAAAAGGACCCAATGCTCCATCGCCGCCACCAGTGTTCCATTACTGCGGAGAGAAGGCGGCTCTGGACATTGTGTTTCCTGACTGGACCTTCTGGGGATGGTAAATTCTGCTACATAATTGCAAAAAGGTTACTGCAATTAGCTTGTTGATTGTATTTACTATGCTTTGTTGTGGCAGGGCAGAGGTTAACATAATGCCATGGGAACAGATGTTAATGGCCATAAAGAAAGGGAGGGAGAAAATCAAGTGGGAAGAGAGGGAGCCTTATGCCTTCTGGAAGGGTAACCCCCGCGTTGCTGCAGATAGGGTAGACCTTTTGAAATGCAACCTTTCAGATAAAAATGACTGGAATGTTCGGGTTTATAAGCAGGATTGGGGTAAAGAAATCGGACATGGTTTCCAGCAATCTAAATTGGAAGATCAATGCACCCATAGGTATATGAAAGCCTTCTTCTTCTCATTGTTAGGGGAGTAGATTTCGATTTTGAATAGTCTAATGGGATTCTGAACTTTGCCGTGGTGCCATGGATATCAAGATATAAGATTTATATAGAGGGAGCGACATGGTCTGTGAGTGAGAAATACATATTGGCATGCGATAGTGTGACCTTGATGGTAAAGCCTAGATACTACGATTTCTTCTCGAGAAGTCTCGTGCCGATGCGGCATTTCTGGCCGATCCACCGCAAGAACAAATGTAGAGATCTTAAGTTTGCAGTTGATTCGGGCAATGGTCATACTCGAGAGGTATGTGTTCGCAGCAAACGGAAATACGGACTGCAATGAATTCGACCATTAATATCACGTAATGTAATAAACCCTTTACACTCCATGAACTTGCAGGCACAGACCATAGGGAAAGCAGGAAGCAAATATATCGAATAGACGCTGACGATGCGAAATGTGTACGATTACATGTTCCATTTGTTGAATGAGTACTCCAAACTCTTGAAGTTTAAACCAACGATACCCCCGAAAGCTCAAAGGGTCTGCGACGAAACCGCAGCGTTCTTGGAGAAAGGTTTATGGACGGAGTTCATGGTGCAGTCGATGGTGAAGTCTCCGAGTGATAAACTTCCATGTACATTGCCTCCCCCATACGAATCTCGAGCGATTCAAGTGTCTCTCAACGCAAAAGAGAAAATAACTAAGCTAGTGGAGACATGGGAGACTGAATAAGCAATAGATAGATAGAGGCCCAAATCTCTTTAATTAGTTTAGCCATTAAAGAAAATTCTTGTGTATTCATTCCATACCAATCATATTGGAAAAATGTTGTGTTCAAATATTAGACAGATTTTGAAAGCAGCATTCAGAAACAGGGGAATTCCTACCTTTATAACAGACCATTTAGACTATAGGGATTACTTGGGATGTTGTAGTATTTCAGAATCAATGAAAATTATTGCATGAAGGAATTAAAGAGCTCAGGATTTGATGATGTCGAAGCTCATCTCGCTTGGATCGGTTGCCTGCAACTCGGCCTGAATCCCGTCCAACTGTCTCTTGAACTTGTCCTTGGAGCTTGCGTAAAGCATCTTACTCCTCACCCTTGCCCCATCGGGTGACCTATACATGTACACCATGAAGGAACAATATTATTGTAACCATCAGTTCTTTGGGAAGAGAAACCATGTGTTGGTTTTCATACCATGCAACGAAGAAAATCTTGCTCTTCTGGCAGTTCTCGTGGGTGATGAAGTAGTAGTCGAGGACGGCATAGCGGCATTCGTTGGGAGAAAAGGAGTTGGTGAAATCTTCGTAGGTTTCACGGGGACCTCCGAGCTTGCCGACGACCACCTGCTGTGTCTGCTCGTCGATCTTATACACGATGAACCGATAGTTCCGCACTCATCATTCACATACATTCCGGATGATGAATTTGCCTATATGCATCACCATAGGAATTATCACCATTTACTTGATAATAACATACAATACTGAAACCAAGGTTATTATTCGATATTACAGTCGTACGATATTGAAGTTAATATATATTAATTGATATCATTTATCAATTATCATATGGTATATTGGAATCAAATTCTTTAAGCTTTCATCTTTCATTTACATTTACATTCTTATTGTTGTTTTAAATCATCAATTACATTTCAAAGTTATTTACCAATAATAAAACATACCATTTTGTTCCTCAAATGAAGCTTTGACGGAAATTGTCAGGCGAAAAAGGGGAATTTTCTGAGAAAATAATGAAGCGAAAAAAAAAAGGAATTGAATGGCCGGTTTTAGTAGGGCGTGAGAATTTGATTTTCTTTTAATTAGGGAAAACAGAGAAAATAAAATATTTGCTTAATTTTAAATAATTACGGTTATAAATAATTTAAATTTAATATCTTAAAATTTGTCAAAAACTTAATTTTACCATCATGTCAAACAGAAATATTATATTTATTATTATAAAATGAAATTGTTTTAATTATATTAGTGTCTGTTTTATTTTAAAAATTAATTAAGTTTGAATTGATTTAACATTAAAAATTTCAATCTGAAAGTGATGTTTAATCAGTGTACATAATTTGACCAGTAAAATTGGTGTATACCACTAAAATTTTCAATATATTAAGATTTTTCATAATAATAAAAAATAATTATTAGTCAATTATTTTAAACTGCATGGAAATTTCAGACTAAGACATCTGAATTTTTTTTTCTTTCCCATCGCATTCTTGTTTCGTTATATTAATTAGATATCAGGACTTGGGATAAGCTCAACAAGTGAAGTTAGGTAAGTAGCATAAACTATATTTTATTAGTTAATAATTATTGAGATAAATATTAAAATTATACAAAAATTTAAATTAAATATATAATATGATATAAAATATTTACTTAACATAATGATATATATAATTTTGATTTTGATTTAATATATATTTTAAAATAAATTTAAATATAAAATGATATTATATGGATTTTGATTTTTATAATTTGTGAAAATAGAATAGAATGAAAATTTCATATATATGTATGTATATAATTATAAAAAAAATCAAAATTTATGTGTAGTACTACACATTTAACTAACATTAACTTACAGTTTTGATATTATTCCTTAATATTTTACAAAAATTAATTATATGTTAATGAAGTTGACCGATAAGAAGAGGGATTCTTAATTAATAAACTAAACATGTCTTTTTGAAAATAATTTTATACATATTTTGTTAAAAAAACTTAATTTTTTAAATATTTTCCAAATAATCAAAATCAAGAGAATTGATATATTATATAGTATATAGGGGTGCTTAATGAGTTGAGCAGCAGTTCGAACTCGACTCGGTCAAAACTCGATAAAAGTTAGAATCGGGTTGATTCGACTCGAATTCGAACTCGAGCTAAGACTTTTTAAATAATTTTTTAGTAGTTATTTAAAAAATTATTTCATTCAAAAAATACTATTTTACTAATAGATAATAAAAACATAATAAATGACTAATCTACTAATTTATAGTATTAGTAGATTATACCTATAGTTAAAAAAATAAGATAAAAATTTCATTGAGCTTAACGAGCAACGGGCTTAACGAGCACGAGTCGAGCAACAAGTTTTTTTAATGAGCTTCACGAGCAATAGATCGAGTTGAGCAACAAAATTTTTTATGAGCACAAGTCTAGCTCTGTCCAACTCGCAATCGGCTCGCTCGACAATCACCCCTAATAGTATATTTTCAATTTTGATTGCGTGTAGTCTTATTCTATCAAATTCATATTATTGTAAAATTTACAGGAATTAGTCCACTTATTAAAATATTTAGATTTTTCCCCACCATAATTATTTTTTTCAACCACCCTTTAATCGAGGTTTCCTTTCACACATATATAAGCATATTAATTATATATTTGATGGGCATATAAATATTGATTACTATGGACCTTTACATTTAGGATTAGATCCTTCAACTAAAATTTTTATTTTATAAAAATAAATAAATAATTAAACATAAATTAATTTAATGAGATTAGATATTTGATCTCTTAAATAATAAATAAAGTTCAAATTTTTTATTATAAATAAAATAAATTAGACCAACAGTTATATGAATTAATTAATCAATAGATCAAATATACATATATGAATTTAATTTTATAAATAAAAAATATACATATATTAGTTTACTTTTATAAGTACTGATTACAAATTATTTAATCAACAAATTTGAAGTTTTATTTAATTTATTAAGAATTTATTAATTATATGATTTTAATAATATCATTAGACTGGTTAAGTATTTTATTATATTTTATATATAAATAAAACCAAATCATCAAGTCTGGTTGGGTCCGAAACGAGAAGCATCACCAGCCAATCAGAGGGAGTAGAGCTCTTTTAACCCCATCCCCCCAAAAAACATTAATTACTGTATAGCACACGTGTCGGAAAGATAAAAGCGAGTAAATCAACTGAAAATGTAAAACAACGTTACATACCGTATCGCTGTCGTATACGATTACAACGGCCAAACAGAGAAAACAAACTGAAACTGATTGTTAAACAGTAAACTAGAGCTTCAACTTTCCCTCCTCCTTCCTCTTTTGTTTTCTCATTTTCGTTACCCAATTCTGCTCTTCCCCGAAGACTCCTTTCAGTCAACTATTTTATTACCAGAACTAATTGTTTATTGATGCTGCTTTGTTTATATCCGATCGCTTTCTCCGTTAAATTTCTGAAAAGCAGCTCGTATTAAATCTTCAACCGTTCTTTCATTTTCATAACCGAAGCTTTCAACTTTAATACCAAAGGTTGGTTTCCGTTTCTTTAATTCTCGAATTGGCCGTCCAGCTCAGTTTGTAAGAGCGTAAGACTATTAACGTTGTGGTCGTGGGATCGAGTCCCAAGACAATTCATAATTTTGTTGGAGGTATACCACAGAAATTGCTCTCAACCTGATTGGGGCTACTATCTTACCTCCCCTTACTCCAATTACATATGATAATAGAAGAATAAGGTCGGTTAATTTTTTTTTTCATAGAATTTTTCTCCCACTTTTCCTCTATGTGGAATGTTATAGTTAAGTTTTTTTTTTCCATAACTGGACATGGGAATTCAGTTTCTTTATATGATGCACGCTTCATCGTTGTTGAACCATTAGTTTTCTTCTTCTTCTTCTTCCATTTTCAGGGTTCCTTTTATCCTGTTCTGATTAAGATAAAGCATGGGTAGTTTCAAGTTAGGGGTTGAAGTGGTGGGCGCCCATGACCTTATAGCCAAAGATGGGCAAGGTTCATCCAATCCATTCGTGGAGCTTCATTTCGACGACCAGAGATTTCGCACCACTGTTAAAGAGAACGATCTCAATCCTGTCTGGAACGAGAGTTTCTATTTCAACATCTCCGATCCGAACAACTTGATCAGGCTTCATCTCGAAGCTTATGTTTACAGCCATAACAAAGCAAACAACTCGAAAGCCTGTCTCGGCAAGGTCCGCCTCACCGGAACATCTTTTGTACCCTACTCCGATGCCGTCGTTTTGCACTACCCTCTTGAGAAACGAACCATTTTCTCCCGTGCAAATGGCGAGCTTGGTTTGAAAGTGTTCTTAACCGACGACCCTTCAATCAAACCTTCGAATCCACTTCCTGCCATGGAATCGTTTCTGGATATCCCTATTTCACTTCCTGAGGAGAAAACTGATAAACGTCATACATTTCATAGTCTTCCGAATGCAAACAACTCGCAGCAAAAGCAGAATTCTCCCCCTGTACCACCCCAGCAGCAACAAATGAATTATGGAGTACATGAGATGAAATCTGAACCTCAGGCAGCGAAAGTTGTACACATGGTCTCGGGTTCATCATCTCAACCGTCTGATTATGCTCTTAAAGAGACGAGTCCGGTCCTTGGAGGAGGACGAATTGTTGGAGGTCGAGTCGTACGAGGAGACAAGCCGACGAGGCCGAGCATGCATGACCTTGTTGAACAGATGAGGTTCCTTTTTGTACGAGTGGTAAAAGCCCGAGATCTTCCTGCAAAAGATATGACAGGCAGCCTCGATCCGTATGTTGAAGTAAAAATTGGAAACTACAAAGGAAAAACAAAGCATTATGTGATGGACAAAAGTCCCGAGTGGAATCAAGTGTTTGCCTTTTCAAGGGAAACACAGCAGTCATCTGTGTTGGAAGTTATTCTCAAGGATAAGGATTTAGTGAAAGATGATTTTGTTGGGGTCGTTCAATTCGATCTCCATGAGGTTCCGGAAAGGGTTCCAACGGATAGTCCGTTGGCTCCGGAATGGTATCGGCTCAAAGACAAGAAAGGAGAGAAAAAGAAAGGAGAACTGATGCTTGCCGTCTGGTATGGCACACAGGCTGATGAAGCATTTCCAGAGGCTTTGCACTCGGATGCCTTTGCTCCTGGTGATAGCACTTCAATTAACTCCTCATATATCCGTTCAAAAGTTTATCACTCTCCAAGATTGTGGTATGTCCGAGTTAATGTCATCGAGGCACAAGACCTTGTTCCATCCGACAAGAACAGGTTTCCTGATGTATCTGTAAAGGCTCAGATTGGTAACCAAACTTGGAAGACAAAATCGGTTCAAACTCGAAATTCGAATCCAATCTGGAATCAGGAGTTTATGTTTGTTGCTTCAGAACCCTTTGAAGATCATCTAATTTTCTCTGTCGAAGATCGTGTCAAACCTAATAAGGATGAGACCATGGGAATGGTCGTTGTACCGTTGAGCTCTGTTGGCAGGCGTGCTGATGACCGACCTATCCGTCCTCAGTGGTACAGCCTGGAGAAATCTTTACCGGATGCCATGGATAAGGATCGTGCAAAGAAGGATAAATTTCATAGTAGGCTCCATGTTTCTGCTTGTCTTGATGGAGGATACCATGTGCTTGATGAGTCAACACAGTATAGCAGTGATCTCCGGCCAACTGCAAAGCAACTCTGGAAATCAGCAAGTGGTGCTCTGGAACTTGGAATTTTGAATGCTAATGGTCTGCAGCCAATGAAAACAAGGGAAGGGAGAGGTACGTCGGATACGTATTGTGTGGCGAAGTACGGCCACAAATGGGTTCGAACTCGAACCATAGTAAATAGCCTGAACCCGAAGTATAATGAGCAGTACACATGGGAAGTTCATGATACTGCCACAGTTCTCACTGTGGGGGTCTTTGATAACAGTCAGATAGGTGAATCCAATGGAAACCAGGATATGAAAATCGGAAAGGTTCGGATTCGAATATCTACTCTAGAAACTGGTCGTGTTTACACACATAGTTACCCCCTGCTGATTCTTCAACCTTCTGGTGTCAAGAAGATGGGTGAACTTCATTTGGCCATACGGTTCTCATCAACATCGATGCTTAATATGATGCTTCAATACTCACGGCCCCTTTTACCAAAGATGCACTACAAAAAGCCATTGACTGTGATGCAGCAGGACATGTTGCGATATCAGGCTGTGAATATCGTGGCAGCTCGGCTTGGTCGTGCTGAACCACCTCTCAAGAGAGAAGTAATCGAATACATGTCTGATACTAATGCTCATCTTTGGAGCATGAGGCGCAGCAAGGCGAACTTTTTGCGCCTGACATCTGTTTTCACGGGATTATTAGCATTTGGAAATTGGTTTGGTGAAGTTTGCAAGTGGAAGAACTCTGTTACAACAGTGCTGGTGCATGTCCTATTTGTAATGCTGGTTTGTTTCCCGGAGCTGATTTTACCTACAGTTTTCCTGTACATGTTTATGATAGGGGCATGGAGATATCGTTTTCGGCCAAGGTACCCTCCCCACATGAACACAAGTCTCTCGTGCGCAGATGCAGCTTCCCCTGACGAACTAGATGAAGAATTCGAGACCTTTCCTGCAACAAAGAGCGCTAATCTAGTTCGGATGAGATATGATCGTTTAAGAAGTGTGGCGGGGAAAATTCAGAGTGTTGTGGGTGACATAGCTAGTCAAGGCGAGCGTCTTCAGGCACTCTTAAGTTGGCGGGATCCTCGTGCTACAACCATATTTATGATATTCTGCCTTGCAGCAGCCATTGTAATGTATGTCACACCTTTCCAGGTGTTCGGTCTTCTAGCTGGATTTTACTTTATGAGACATCCCAAGTTTCGCCACAAGACACCCGCAGCGCCGATTAACTTCTTCCGTCGATTGCCCGCAATGACAGATAGTATGTTGTAAATAAGGTTACCGGGATTTATTTTCTTGCAATCGTAAGTTTTGGATCCTGGTTGTAAAGCCTGATCTTTTTTCTGTGGTGTTGTATGCATATATATATATATATATGCTAAGAATCAGATATGTAATGGCTTAGAATTAAATGCAAGAAATTGTTCCTATATTGTCTGGTATAAACTCTAATATATCCTTTTTCACTTAAAAAAATTAAAGTTCAATGAGTAAATTAAAAAAATCAAACTTCAGTGACGTAAAAACTAGCGCTTGATTCCAGCAGTTGGTGTAATCATCCAGGCGAGTTGTAAGGAAATAACAGGAGGAAAACCCCAAGACAAGTTGGAATCTCAAGACTGTCGAAGAAAACAAAGAGCTACTGTCTATAAAGATTAGCTAAGCACATCTTTATTTGGTTCAAACAAGAGAAAATGAAATGCAAAGGCCTAAGGATCAGTTGAAATCATGAGTTCTACAATTTCCAAACTAACTGTCATCAAACCTACAAATATCAGACCAAATTCCATTCTGTCATTGCCATGGGAAGTGAGAATCATCGAAGCCAAAATTCAGGCTGCCCCGAACATATCCCATAATCAACAGCAAACTATCTACATTGCTCGCAAAACTATTAGGGAAAAGAGTCATCGTCATCCACGCATTAGATCAATGTCGACATGGCTATTGTTGCGAATATCCATCGATCGTGGCCCCGGCCACATGCCTGCAGCCGAACTTGGAGTCAGATTTTGATTTGGTGAAATGCCGGGAGGAGTTACTACATTGTCGACGATCTGATCATCCAAGTCTTTTAGACCTTCTTGACCTCCCCCTTTCTTGCCCTTTGTCTTCGAGACACCCCAGATAAAGCTCCCCACAATAACCTGTTTCATTCAAGTTCAATTACTTGAAATGGTAAGTTTATATGATTTAAACTTTGAAATGGTATTACGATGGCTTCCGACTGTTTCGGACCATAGATACCAGTCACAGCGATAAAAGAGTTACCTGAACTGGGCTTGCTGCTATAAGCATCCCTCCGACACCTCCACCAATGACACGGCCATCAGGACTGGCAAGAGAAACACTAAGACCACCAGTTCGATTGTGAGAGCCGCTATTGCTTGTCAACAGGTAAGAGCCCGACAAACATAATATCTCGAATCGGCCCTATAGAAATCAAAATGGACGGATTTCTTCAATAAAAATATGCATCATGACAAGAATTTATTAAACAGCAATAAAGGTTACCGTATCCGAAATGAGAATTTTGTTTAACAGCATTAACAAAAACTACAGACCAGTTCGACAATATTGGTCACATATCTGTCAAAATAATGCAAGAGTCTAGTTGCCAAGTGCCAAACCTCATATGTAACAGTGCCACCCAACGATGAAGGTTGTCGAAGTGTAACGGTCGAGACGGCACCATTGGCTGACAAGATGCATACTTCTCTTGGCCCTTGCTGTGAAAATGACATCAGTTTTGTCGCAATATCCTGCAGGGAAAGTTGAAAGTAATTCACAAGAACAAGGAACTTTCTTCCATTATAAGATAACCTACAGAAAGATGTAGTACCACATTCAAACAATTCATACCCCAAATGGTATCGATTCAAGATGGAATATCTACTTGTTGCTAGAGAAACAACGAAAAACCTAAACAAAACTTAATGCCCTCGTGCACAACCAAATCGACAGCAACGCTTTATTACATAGAAAGCCATGAAGAGCACTAGCAAGGAAAGATAGGGCTATAGAGTCCTAGTTTCTTGTATAATTAATTTAGAGGGTAGAGTCCAACGAGGCGTAATTAATAAAAGAAAATCGCATACTTCTCCTATCGCAATGGTGATGACATGTGGAGTAAAACCCATCCCAGCTGAACCAGACAGCAATTCACCTAGCAAAACAATTACACGATCGCGACGTCATTCACATAGCAAGAATAAAATATGTTAGAATCAAGCACTAAGAAACAGAGATAAACGGCAAGCCATGACAAGATATAGCATGTTCATTCACCAAGGAGAATGGATCATAGCTTGTAGGAATTGAGGAATTGTTACTTATGAAGACTTCCACGTTTGAACATATACAGTGTCACTCGCAGTTACTTAAAATCTGAAACTCTTGTCAGCTCTAGGCATATTCCTAACTAAATATAAGGCCGAGCTTGCAATTTAATTATATTAGCGAAACATAAGCCCAATCAAGCTTTAAACTCTACAAACTGGTGGGAAAATAACTTACCAAGGGAAGACAACTGTTGCTTCCTTCCGGTGCCTGGCGGCCGCCCTCTTCCCCGTTTTTGGATTGGAGTTATTGTTCCAGGATGAGTGGCTGATGTAGGAGTCAGTGCTAACGAAACAGTTCCATCAGGTCCATACTTCCGAGGTCTTCCTCTTTTACGTTTCACTGTCTCACTAGGCGGCACCGCAGGAGACATGCCTACATTGACACTATGAGGGGTCATTCCCGACAAAGGCTCTACAGGTAAGGTTGTTCCCATAGTAGTGACATTAATACTCGATTGGTACTGAACATTTGGACTTGATAACGGATGAATGCCCGTTGATCCATGTACTCCGGTCTGTGTTCCGGACCCGGACCTGGACCCGGACCCAGTTATTCCTCTTTGTTGAATATAGTAAGATGCGGAGCCCGATAACGCCATAGCATCCCTTCGATCCATGCATTTACCTCGAATAACATATACTTGAATTTGCCTTTAGATCAACACTCCATGCAAATTGCAAAGGCTAGGATAGCAGAAAAGCGCCAACGAAACTCCAAGTGTGACCACTAAACAGTTAGAAGGCATATGGATATTGGAAACAACATGAAAAGACAGAAAGAACAATCTATATGAAAGATTATAATATGTCAATGAAGAACTTGTTTCCCCACGGTTCATATTCATATAAATCGAATTTCACACATGCATGGCTCATGAAATTGAGCCGCAACAAAGAGTAAAGAGATACATTTAGCTTTACAGAGAAGATAAAACAGTAAACACCAAGGGAAAAAGCCACAAAATCATGAGAGGAAAATGAAGAACCAATAATCTACAAGCTACCAGCAGGAGAAAACAATGGAGAGAGAAGAAAAAATAGTTGAAATATCAAGCTCATAACTTGAAAGGAAAAGACAAAAATGCAAGCTATTTTACAGCTTACCAAACAGTAGGGGGAAAAAAGCTTCATGTTAAAGAAAAAAAGCAGGATGGGAACTGAAAACCAGGTCTTAACCTCACCAACTCATTATATATCTTTAACACAAAGCATGACCAAAATCACTACCCCAAGGAACGATTTACTCACATGATTAAGAAAATAAAGAAATAAACAGACAAAAGCTAAAGCCAATGCCCTACAAAAGAAAGTTAAACCAAGTTGAAAGAAGAAGTACAAATTCCTTCAAAAACTAAACAGACATGGCTAAAAAAATTGCTCCTTTTCATGAAAAAAAAAAACAGAAATTGAAAGTAACTTACATTAGAGAACAGGGATTAAACTGTTAAAGGTCCAACCTTTTGACAGTAAGAAGCTTTGAAGTAGATGGGATTTTTTTTCTTGGGAAAACGAATAGACGGAGAGGAACTAAAAGGAAAGTGAGAAATAATAGAGAAAGGAGGCCATTTTTTTAGTTGTTTTGGTGCGATGGAATGAAGAAATGTGAAAGAAAGCGTGTGTTTATTAGTTTCTACAAGAAGCTCCTTTGCAAACACCAGTCCTTATCGGGATTCATATTTTCTAGGGCTGTGCTCTCTCTCTCTCTCTCTCTTTCTCTCCTGTAGTGAAAGCTGAATATCTTTACTCTCTCTCTATTGATATCTATAAAGGTATTATTGTGTTTATCTTCTTATTTTCTCTCTCTATCTCGCCTTCGTCGTCTCAACTCTGTGCGAGTAGGAGTGATGATGCTTTGCTTTCGATTAGAGTCACAATGGCTGGCTTAAAACATACTATAAATATCTATAATTTGAAAGAAAAAAAATAAAATTTAAATTTTTATAATTAAAGTAACATGAAATTTATATAAATTATAAATATATTCAATTTTTTATAATTTCATTCTAAATTTCATTCCTACCGTTATTCTTCGCATAATGCCAAAGTAACCCAATGTTTATCAAAATATCAATTTGGCTCCTGTTCTTTTTTCTTAACTATTTTAACCCAACGTTTTACTTTTGGGGGCAAAAAAATCATACTATATATGAAAATCATTAGTTAACATATAATTAATTCTTCAAAATAAGAATCTTTTTAACCTAAAATAAAACGTTGCCCATAAAAGAATAAGAGACAAAGTGGTTTTTTTATCAAATATTATGGACCTTTCTACCCTAAAATTAAATGTTGGGACCAAAATGCTTCAAAAAAATAGAGTAGAGACAAAATAATCATTTTAATAAACGTTAAAGGTTAATTTTCACATTACACCTTAATTTTTTTCGTTAGTTTAATAGATTAGGTCTTTTTTTTACCTTTTTTATTTTATTTGCATTTCCACGAGGTGATATTCTTTTGAATGATGTTTTTTTCACTTGTTCTTTTTCGTTATAATGTTTGCATATCAAAGTTGTGTGTTTTCTTTCAGAGCTTCGCATGAAGTTATGCGCTCTCTCCCAAATTTCTGTATCTTTTATTGATGTTTATATTTATTTCATATTACATCGAGTTGGACTAAAATTATACATTCTCGTCTTGCTCTCATTGAGTCAATAATTTTTTTAGATTATAGTTTAGAGGTGATTAAATCTTGGAGATGAGGTCGTATGTATATTTTTATTTGTTATTTAACTTATTCTTTTTAGTATAAAACGATTCGTTTTATCGTATCGATGTTGATATATAACAGGTAACGTAGTGGTTTATGATAATCTAAAAAGTGAGAATGAAATGATTAAGTCGATGATTTATGGTTTATTGTTTCTACAACAGATGAAATTAATAATGTTGCGAAAATATGAGGTTAAGAAAATGTGTTTCTTTTCTTTAGGTTAAAATAAAAGTTATTTATAAACTCATTAAATGACTTAAGTGATAAAATAGAATGTTGTTTTTTTATATCTTAAGGGTACGTTTGGTTCATGGAATGTAACATTACCTCCGGAAATAAGATTATCAGAATGTTACATTACCTTACACATTACTGGGAATGTTACAATATTGTGTTTGGTTTGTTTGACAGGAATGTATGATTACCTTATTTGGTTGAATAAAAGATTACTGGAATGCATATTTTACTAAATTATCCTTATGATATTTTTTTAACAAGTTGAATTCCAAATATTCAAGTGAAAATATTTATATAGAAATTCATAAAAAAAATATTATTGTATTATTTTCAATTTATATATTTTTTATTAAATTTTAAATTCATAAAATTTATATAATTTTTTTTACAAAATTTAAAAGATAAATGAGTAGATTAAAAGAGTAAATATATCATATATTCTTTTAATCTTAATTAATATTTAAAAATTTATGATAATAAATAAATAAATAAATAAATAAAATACCGGTTGGGAATATTTTTGAAATAAAGTTATGATAAAAAATGATAATATATTATAGCTTTTGAAATAAAAATAAAAATATTTTTGAAATAAATCTTTTAGGACGAGGGCATTTTAGTCCAAGGTGAAGGGAAACAAAAAATACCTAAGTTACCATGGGATTAGCATTCCATGTAATATTTTATGGGAATCTTACCCATCCAAATGTGGAAGACCTTGGAGAAATATAGGGAAAAAAATAGAGATCTTCACATGGCGTTCATTGACCTTGAGAATGCGTATGATAGTGTTCCCCGCGATACGATATGGAAGACCTTGGAAACGAGACAAATCCCAACTGCTTATATCCGGGCGATTCGTGATATGTACTGTAGATCTACTACATACGTCAGGACTACAGTTGGCGATACCGAGGCTTTCCCGGTGGAAATCGGACTCCACCAGGGGTCTGCTCTTAGCCCTTACATCTTCGCCTTGATTATGGACGACATCTTTTCTGCTACACCAGACGGTGTTCCATGGTGTATGCTTTTCGCTGACGACATTGTCCTAGTTGCTGAAACAAAAACTGAATTGAATAGTAGACTGACTTCCTGGAAGACTGCTTTAGAAGAAAAAGGTCTAAGGATCAATATTGAAAAGACAGAGTATTTATGTTCAAACTTCAGTGGAAACCAAAACGATGAAGATCTAGAAGTATGCATAGAAGGACACGTTATCCCCACAAGGGATTGTTTCAAGTACATGGGGTCTATGATACATAAAGATAGGGGTATAGATGATGACGTTACACACCGTATAAAGAAGGGATGGCTAAAGTGGAGGGCTGCAACTGGAGTTTTGTGTGACAAGAAGGTGCCTCTAAAACTTAAGGGAAAATTTTATAGAATGGCAATAAGACCAGCGCTGTTGTATGGATCAGAATGTTGGGCAATCAAGAAGGATCATGTAAGGAGGATGGAGGCCGCAGAAATGAGAATGCTTCGATGGACATGCGGTAAAACTCTGTGGGACATGACACCAAACTCTGCAATTAGGATGTCCTTGGGGGTGGTTCCTGTATTCGAAAAATTGAGAGAGGGAAGACTACGGTGGTTTGGGCATGTCCTTGGGCGACAAACGTCGGATACGGTCAGGAGGGTAGAGTCGATTACACTCGACGGTGCCAGAAAGAGAGGACGACCAAGGAGGAAGTGGGTAGACTGCTTGAGATCTGATTTGAAGGATTTAGCCCTTACCGAGGACATGACCTCTGATAGAAAAGTATGGAGACTTATGACCAGGGTAGTCGAGTAGTGTGGGTCACAACCATATGGTGTAGCATCTCTGTCTCCTTTTAATGCCTTCGTAGTAATCTCCATGACTTCTACTTTTTATACGTTTCTGTTATTAGATTTTATGAAGGCTTAGAACTAGGATAACGGAGTAGTGTTGCCTTAGTTTAGGTTTTAAACCATTTGACTTTATTCCTTCTCGTAGCTTGCTATCGCTGACTCCTGTGTATCCTTATCTTCATTTTTCCTCTTTTTATATTTAACCGGAACTTACGTTTCTGTCTATAAGCAGAGATTTTTACGCAGAGATTTATTTGCAGAGATTTACTAACCATTACAAACGTAGATATGAAGACTATTCAACTATGTATTTATTGATTTATTTATGCAGGCATTGTATCTTATCTTTATTTTTAATTTTCTTACTGTCGGATGTCTTTCACGGAAGCTGCTCGCAATCTGGCGTTGGGGGCAGCCTACTACCCCACCTCCCCCTTACCTCATTGCATATGGGAATAGGGTTTTGTTGTTGTTGTTGTTACCCATCCAAATGTGGAAATCACAAATAGAAAAAAAATATTCCTACCAGTAATGTTAAAATCATCAATCCAAACGTCCCTAAGTTTAAGTAGTTATTCTCTGCATAAGTACGTATGATGACATAAATGAAAATGGATATGATGAGAGCAAAAATTAAAAATAAAAATAATTTAATAATAATATATTTTTTTGTTATTAGTTCGGGATAATACAAGGTAATAACTGTTTAAAGATTATCAAGTATTTATTATTAAACATTATTACATTTGTATACGCCGTGTTCAAACATGAGACCTTAAAAAATAATAACAATTCGTTAACCATTAAAATCGTTTAGTAATAATAAACAACTATAAAATAAACATATCCTAATAATAACTAAAAAAATAAAACTTTAATTTTAATTTTAAAAAGTTAATTTCAAATATAATAACTTAGATTTTTTAATAATAACTTTGAATTTTAACTCGTGATTTTAACATTTATTATAACTAAAAATATTTTTAGTTTCAAAAATAAATGTAATAGAAAAGAAAGCGTTTTGGTGTGGGATAATCCTCTCTCCTTAACTTGATACTATTTCTCTTTGTTTGATGTTGAAATTTTGAATATTAAATGCTGTCCCCAAGAAATAACATTGTCTGGTCCCTCCTCCCACGCGCTCTCCTTACGCGTATGCTTTTCATTTTCCTCTTGTATTTAATTTATATTTTAAAATTAAAACATCCCGCAGTTTAAACATTCTACAATAAAAAAAAAAACTAATTTACAGTCAAATATATTATTGCATTATAAATAAAATAATAATAATGACTAATTAAAGGCGTTCAAAGAAGTATTTCATAACTTACTAAAAACTTGAAAGATAGTAAGATACTAAGAAATCGTTTTATCATTTGAAAGAGTAGCGCGTGGTGGGGACGCAAGAAGAGGTGAAGGGGGAAGAAGAATAGGTTGTTTGGTTTGTAATGCATGTGACCTTTCTCTGTTTACCGCTAATACTGCTCTCTGTGTAGACAGACCATCAGTCTCGAAATATCTTCCTCCTAGCATTGATAACATCACCCCCTCACTTTCTCACCGCCCCTCTTGGAATGTATTTGTAAATTTATGGGTAAACTATCCATTAGTCAATGAGTTTAGTTTGTATATCAATTTAGTCATATCAGACACATCTTATTATATTTATTTATATTAAATCCACGACTGTTTTAAGTTCAAGACTCTTAAATGTTGAGTAAAACATGCACTATTTTCAATAGTTAAATTAAATTAAACTCCTAACAAAATGAAACCAATATTCACAATATAAATTTAAAAATATTAAACTCTTTAACAATTGATCGGAGCACGATAAGTTAGACAAAGAAGATTAGGCACAAAAAGTTAAGAATGTTTGACTCATATACCGAGAGATTTCAGCATTGTTAATTTTTAGAATGGTAAAAACTTTACACAATACAATAATAGTAAAAAAAACAAACCAGTTAAGCCAGCTTTTAGCTTATTTAATTAATCTATTATTCTCATGGGTCAACGTTGACTTTTTAGGTGTCGGGGACATAAAAATTAGTGGATATCATAAAATATATCGCAAGACGTGTTTGATCATTAATGCAACTCCTTGTTGGTATAAAATTAAAATATTAATACAGGGTTTATCTGCTTCTTTTAATATAATTTTATGAATTATCATAATGATCGGAGAGATAAAAGGGCAGTGCCGTTGTTCATGCGAAGGTGACATATTATCTTTCTTTTCTTTTGAATGATTAACAAGGCAATAATAAGTTATTATATTAAGAAAGTAATTAAGCAGTCGTATAGAAGACCGTAAAGGTCTCGATATAAAACATCTAGTAGTATGTATGTGGGAGCAGAGATGTAGATCAATATGTGATCGACATGATTAACTTTTGAAATTCTATTTGTTGTTTCATTTGCTTCACGACGTACGAGTGCAATATCTATGCACCGAGCTTCGTTGATGAGATGATTGAGATCTGTAATGGCTCGGGCAAGATTAAAAGGGTTGGCTGTGGGGTCCGAGTTTAAGAGGTTAAGAGTGTTGGCACTATTAAGTTGGGACGAAATATTCTCAAACCCACAGGACCAAGACCTTCAAAATTGTCCCATAATTCGATTTGGAGCGCCGTTGTGAATTTGAGTCTTTCGTTGAAGCAAGCAGACGTAATATCATATTTTGTTTATAATTTAAAAATAAAATTATTAATATTTTGTTATCATATATCATATTATAATTATTTTAGACTATTTAAAAATAATTAATATATAATTTATGACGATTTAGTTAAATAAACATATTTTAAAAGCAGCAACGACAGTAGTATCTTAATTTGTGTATATACAGTGGAGATGTCCACAGAGCATCTTATCGAGTTCAAATATGTGTACATAGAATTTTTACAATTTTTTACGGTTTACCTTTCAATCTCACCTACCCTAGGCTGACATTCACAATAATTGGCTCAAAAGGAGAGATTTAATTTGGTAACGGGTGGTGGACTTGTCGGGAAGTTAGACGTGCGACATTTTAATATAAGGTTAAAATAAGACGTTATCGATTTTATTATTATTTAAATAATAAAATCGGTAAAAAATTATTTAAAATATTATTATTTTTACTTAAAATATCAATTTTTTAATATTTTCGGTAAAAGTGTCCAATAATAATAAAATAAATAAAATAATAATAAAACTGGTAGCACTTTATCAATATCAGTAATACGCCTAATAATAATAAAATCGATAGAAATAATAATGTTTATGTCATTTTTTACCAGTTTTGTTATTTTCAACCGTTTATTAAGGCTGCCAGATTCTCTTCATATTTCATTCAGTTTCTAATGGTTTATTAACGTACTGATTTTAAGCTTTTGACAATAACATTAACTCATTTGTATAATAATGTTTAGACTTAAATAATCCCCAAACTCTTGACATACAAAAATTACATATATTAGTTAAAGATTTTTAAGATACAACTTGACGTTATTAGTACTCAAACCCAGATCCTAAAGAAATATTTTAATTACCTTAAAAATATTTGGCTTTTTAAAATTAACCGATATCAAATCACAAATTTCCCTGGTTCAAATCAGATCGGTTCACCAATTTTTAAGATAAAAATTTTCATATTACTTTTTAAAGTTATTTTCACTAATTCAATGTATAAAATATTTATTATCATATAATAAAAACAAAGAAAAACTAATTATAAATTAAACCATCTTACATTACAATACAGATCTGCGTGTGAGATTTTGGAGTGCAATCAAGATGCTGATTTCAGTGAAATCAACCATCCACCAACGACTGCAACATGGAACTGCCACCATTCACCAACATAGACGTAAGAATTCAAGTTGGAATTCGTGCTGCCTTTTTCTACGTGCTAAATTGTTCTTCTTCGACATTTTCCCTTGTTCGGCACGCCTCCGACTAACTAAGATTAGTCGTTCTTCTGCTCCTTTGCTTAAACCCTAAACTTAGCATTCATCTGATTTGTAAGGTGTTCGGTTTTCTGTTTAATTTTCTGCGTTGCAACTTGTATGAAGTATAAACCCGCGAGAATCGGTTTTTCATATTTGGGCCGATATCCACCTGCTCCGGCCTGACCTTTGTTGAGCTTGTGCCGGTTAAATTCTATTTATTATGTGTTAATTCCCTTTTTGATCCCCAATATTTGTATCCAATCACTCAATTTTCAAAGAAACCTTTTAGATTCAAAACGACCTACTCGTGCCGGTGAGTCTTGACAAAATTGGTAAGGTTGAGCTATACTGACTTACTCAAGGCATGTGATAGTGATTAATACGAAAATTTAAATAGAATTAAGAGGAGAATTGAAAAATCAAAGAGATTGAGATAGAAAGGCATCAAAAAATGAAGAAGAAAAGTTGATTCAACATTCACAATAGAAGCACTAGCCTTGATTCAGGGTCTTTACTTCATTAATTGTAGCAGCATCAATATGCTAACCTTGTTTAAAACGTGCACCTTGAATCGGGAACTATTTAGTAATCCATTTATTTTCACAGGAAAGTGCTTAAATTCACTTCTGCAAAGTACTTGGATTAAAGTATAGATATCTTATAGAATTTGTATCACAAATCAGATGATATTAACTCATTAATGAATTGACAAAAAAATAATTATATAAATGAAGTGAACAAAACTAGACCCGAAAAATTGATCTTTTCAATTCGACTCTATTTGAAAAACTTGACTCGTATTTTATAAACTCAGCACGACTCGAAAAGATTTCAAATTTGAGCCAAGTTATAAAAGAGAACTCGAATGACTAGCAATATTTGGTAATTAGTGGATTGATTTTTGAGTTTGAGTCGATTCTCTCAATTATATATATTATATGCATATCACATATAAAAAATATGAAGAAATATACATGTATTGTATATGGTTATTGAAAACCGTTTAAATTGGAATCATATGGTACCATAAATTACAAATATTTACAACTAAATTTAAATATAAACTCAAACAACTCGGCTCGAAAATATTTCAAATAAAATTTGAGTTATAAAATAGGACTTATCAACTCAAATAACTCATTTTTTTGACTCGACTCGATCGAACGCTCACCCTAGATACAAAATGGTCTTGCAGTTCAAAGCTTCGAGTTAGCTGATGGGTTGGGAGGTGTAACCATCTTAAGCAGTACTTCTTGAGTCAATGATACACCAAGCTGCAAATCAACATACACAAGTATTATAATCGGGTCGATAACACAGGAACGGGATTCCGTGGAAAAGAAAAGGCAACTCAGGACTAAAATGTATAAGGGAATAACAATGGGATTAAAAAAAACAGAGTAAACTAAATACCTCCCCCTTTCTGTTGAACATTTGGCCTGAAAGAAAGCAACGGTTGTTACAAGCTGTAGGACTCACAATCTGCATAAGATTGGTTTTACAAATGATTATTTTTCATTATGAAAGTGAAAAACATATTTTGATCATAATTCATAAACCCTACCACGAGCAATAACCTGTCGTCGGCCCTAGGATTCCGGTGGAACCACCACATCCTGGGAAGCACGAATGAAAGATTAAATGATGTCGTGTATAAGAACTAGCTAAAAGAATAATATTGATATGATGCAGATTATATTTACCATTTGTTCAACACTCAATACGTTTAGTGTTTGAGTGCCAGCAATTTCATTTTTAAATCACTTGTACCAATCAGAAAAAAATATAGATATTAGGTCATCCTTTAACTTTAACCTCACAGACTACCACTGGAAACTTATAATCTTCACCTAAAACAACGGCATTGAAATATATTGACTATAATATGCATCAAGCACACCAGTAAATACAATGGAAGCATACTAAATCATGTTATCATACAAGGTAAAAGTGAGGAACCTTGGTAGACAAGGTACGAAAGAAGTATAAACATGCCTGTCCCACCAATTGTCCTCCATATTCCCAAATTTTGGGTCATCTGGCAGAGTAATCCCTTGGAATATGTTCAAATTCAATAAATAGGAAAAATAGTCTAAGTATAGAGGTTATTAAAAGAAACTAATTAGATTAGTTGTTTTTCAACACTATTAACATGCTTCTAAAGAAAGAAAAATGTTAGAATTTGAAGTATACCAAGAAAACATGAACTCTTAAAACTTCTCACTTTCTAATGGCAACAGAAAAAATATAAGAAAATGACACAGAAACATACTTCTATTGGCTCTAGATGCAATATACTTTCCACGGGTGCACAGATAGATTTTGACTGAAGCAAAGTGCAATGTTCATGAGGTAGAAACAGGCAGGTCATCTGTAGTAACAGGTAGTCCATATTATTTTTATCACCATGTGCATTTTTATAAGTGGTTGGAACGTTCTATCAAGAAAAGTTACGTAAAAATAAGTAAAAAATATGTAGCTATACTTTAGTTAAAGCGATTACATCTGCCATGAGAACCAATGTGGGATTAACTGCAAAAGAAAATTATATTGATTTTAGGACTAATGTCTTCATCGCTAGTTGATTTTAGACCATTCCTATTCATATAAGATTAATCACAGACATTTCCTCAAAAAAAAAAAAAGATTAGTCAGACATGAATGCACATTGCACAGACAAAAACTCTACATACTGAAACAGTCCGATACTCAAAAATTGTAAAAACATCACATGAAGGAACGATCAAAAAGCTAACCATGGCCAAAGTAATCGTATTGTTGGAACTGAAACTCGAGTCGATTTTCTTCTTCAACATGGACTGATACAGATACTTCAGCCTATAAACCACGGAATTGAAACTCAGCAAAAATGACTTTATTTGGTTTAGATATTTACTTCTAGAAACAAAACACTTATTTGAATACGAAATTATCAGCAATTTCCTGATCGCCAATATGTATATTAATATTTTTTGAAAAGCAAATGAACAAACAAATAAAACAACCAAACGGAAGAAATAATAATGTATGCAAACAAGGAAAAATAAAAAGAGACCCCTCCTTCCCACACGAAATATATTCCGTCTCCAACTTCTCCTTCCCGAACGACATAATCTCCTTTCTCTGCAACGCAAATTATTTTAAGCAAATCCAGTAAGTAATCAGTTTTAAAACATTTCTTTGTAGTTTGATTTAACCTGTTGAAAGACTCTGTTTGGTAGCATACGCAGCAAATCAAAGAAAAACAGACGCAGTTACGCGGATCAAATGAAAAATGAAATCGCTAATACTTCATTTAACTGAATTTGATCAGAACATTATAAGTTACCAAAGTGCTTAAAATTCACGAGTTCAGCTATTCTCTTGAACGAAGAACTCGGTAATCTCTGGAGCAACGGAACGTTGCCCAAAAACTCGACCACTGCAAAAGAAAAAAAAAGTATCACAGAGATCGCAGAAAGTTAGAGCATTATTAGGAGGTGGAAGCCTAAATTTTCAGAGAAATTTTTTTTATCGCAGTTTCTCGTTAACCAATCGGAGGAAGAAATGAAACTAACGAACAAAGCCAAAACTCATAAATATTTACCTGCTTCGGTGTTCATACTGAAGCTTGGAATAACGGTAAGGGCTTAATCTCGGGAGGCGGAAAACGGAAAGAGACTTGTGTGAGATCAAAGATAGACAACGGTAGACAAATTGTGTGAAATCAAGCGTGTGCGGAGTAAAAACGTGGATTTGATTATACGAGGAAGATAAAGCTTCGCCAGTGAGGATCCAATTTTTTTTCAAGGTAAGCATATATGCTAATAATATATAATTTTTATAAGTTGGTGAATATAAATAAAAATTTTAGGATTGTTCAAATTAATATATGAAAAATTATTGATTTTTAAATGATTTAATATAATTATAAGATAATATCTTTTCATAGTATATTCTTCGAAGATAATTAATCGAACTCAAGGTCTCATGAAAAAACTAAAATTTTTTAACTTTTAAAATAGAAAATTTAAATATTAGGGTGAACAATTAGATCACATACATCGCCACAAAATTTGACGATTTAATATCAATAAAGAATGTTATTTCTTATTAAATACCATTTTTTATTAGTATAAGATGATTATAAGGACTTTTGGGAAAATAACATTTCTTTTAAACACTTAGATCACTTGAAGAGTTCTTAAATATTATCTTAAATTATCAACAGAGGTTTGTTCAAATGGTAAGCAGCTTGATATCACTTAAGCAATGTCTCGAGTTCGAGTCATTGTGTATGAAAAAAATCCTTGCTGAGAGATACACCCACCAAAACCAAGTGTGCAACGCTGATTGGTCTTGATTAATCAAGACGAAGCCTTAAAACTGGGATGATAGAAAAAAATACTAATCTTAAATTCTCAATCACATATATAGTTATATTTACATGTAAATACAATATTTAAAGTTATTAATTACATTCAACAACTTGATTAATGATTTATGTAACATTATTAAATTTAAAATATATTCTAAAAGTCTTTTACTTTTCATAAATTAAAAAAGTTGATCATTTCAAATTCAAAAAGTTATTCCATTTACCTTTTAAATTCAAAATTTTAAATTTTAATATTAACGAAGATAAAATATAAATTTTTTAAGAGGAAATCGTTCTATTAATTCATTTAGAGTGTAATGCCCTTGGGCAAACTTGAGTTGTACTAGTTAACCTTTACACAATAAAAAAAATCTTATTAAATTCATTAACGTACTATTTTGAAGGAAATATTTTAGCTTGGTAGACATTCAAAAAAATATTATAATGAAAATTTAATAAGTATTTTTAATTTAAAATCTAAAAAATAAATAAATATTTTTTTAAATAAAAGTTAAAAGATTAGATTTCAAATAGACAAACCTATAACAGATTTTAATTTAGTTTGGAGTATAATTGTAAAAAATAATCAAATTAAAATATTAAACTTTAAATATTTGTACCGAACGATACGTAAACATATAAGCAGTGATGTAAGCCAATAATGGAATAAAATAGAATAAAAGAGTGCAAGGAGATTGAAACTTAAAATTACTTGGTATTAATGTAAGACCTTAGCATTTACTGAATGTTAGTCTGTTACGATAGATGACGAAACAAGATGGGCCTCTTTTCCCCATAACATAGTTCGGTCACTGAGTACAGAAAAAGGAATATAACTGTTACTCTTTTATTGGTTTCGAGAAAGATCATCAAAGTTATGCAACCGAGAAGAAAAATTAGAAAGGGCCCAACCGGGTTCGAACCGGTGACCTCTTGATCTGCAGTCAAATGCTCTACCACTGAGCTATGGACTCTTAATGTTCTCATTTGTATGTTATAAATTAAAATTTAATAAGACATGAAAAATATTTTAGGAAAGGGCCCAACTGGGTTCGAACCGATGACCGCTTGATCTGCAGTCAAATGCTCTACCACTGAGCTATAGACCTGCATCAAAGAATGTACTTCCAATATAAATTTTGAAAATTTGAGAGTTAATATTAAGGGTAAAGTATAGTAATGGTCACTGAACATTTCAGAAGCTTGCATTTAGGTCCCCCAACATTTAAAACTTGCAATACAGTCCCCCAACATTTATTCCGTTTGCAATATGGTCCCCCAACTTAAACCACAGTTAGAAAATTAGGATAAATTATATAAATGGTCATTGAACTTTTCAGTCACTTGAATTTAGGTCCCCCAACTTTTAAAACTTGCAAAACAATCATCAATTTCATTCTAAACCCCAATTTCCAAAGTAATTCAATTTTATTCTAAACCCTAAATTCCAAAATACTTAAATTAAATTCAATTATGTCAAAGTTATTATTATTTAATTTCATCTTATTTCACGTGATACGTATTTTTTATATAAATATAATAGTATAATTCTTATCTGTTGAAGAAATTTTTTAATTAAAAAAAGTAGTTAGGATATAAAAGAGGTTGAAAATAATTCGAATTTTAAATTTATAAAATGTTATTTTGACGTATAAATAAAAGTGTAAACTACTCGGTTGACAACTTAACTATCTAGCCCTTTTTACTTTTGTCATCGATCTTTTAAATTTATCAATCATACCACATAATTATTTAACTGTTTCAACTAAGCCACTAGTCGTTACCAATTGATAAAAATGATGATGTGGCAGTTAAAAGGAATTGACATTATTATACATTCAGTCTTTATTATTTATATAATCAATTTGGTCCTAAATTAAATAAAATTTAATAAATTATTCATTTAATTAGGATCTGACATGTGTTAGCACATGATCATGACACGTGTCATTGGTGACACGTGTTACCACCTAATTATTTATATATGCTATCAATTTGGTCCTAAATTAAATAAAATTTAATAAATTAATCATTTAATCAGGATCTGACATGTGTTAACACATGATCATGATATGTGTTATTGGTGACACATGTCACCTCCTAATTAGAAGAAAATTAAGTTACAAAGAAGTAAAATTTGGGTCTTGGGCAAACTCAAACCTGAGTCACGCAAATGAAAGATATAGGGTGGAGCCACTAAGCTAACAACATCGTTTGTGTTAAGAGATATACAATAATACATATACTAATAGTATGACCAATGCCAGAAAAAAAAAGAATATAATGTAAAATGGAAATAATGAGATTTGAACTTCTGCAAAAAATTTGAAAGCAATAAATGATGGGAAAATATTATATTTTTTACAATAAAAAAAATATTATATTTGATAAATTGTTTGATAGATTTAATATATTTTTTTTAAATATTAGTTGATACAATATTTTAAAAGAATAAATTTAAGATTTATATATTTTTAAACTAAATTTAATAATTATATTTTTCATATTTATAATTCATGATTATGTATATAATCTTAAGTTGAGTATTTCTAATATAATTAATAATTTTAATTTCTTATTAAAAATAAAATATTCAAAAAATATAAATGATTCATACATTAATATATGAATATATTTTTTATTTATACATCTAAATATAAATATACATTTATATAAATATATTTTTATTCGTTGTGTCTGTGCCTTGAACTCTTTCTTCAAGCCTATATTACCTTAAATTGAAGTATTTTAGAATTTAATTGAAGTATTTTAGAATTTAGGGTTTAGAATAAAATTGAATTACTTTGAAAATTGGGGTTTAGAATGAAATTGATGACTGTTTTGCAAGTTTAAAAAGTTGGGGGACCGAAATTCAAGTGACTGAAAAGTTCAATGACCGTTTATATAATTTATCCTAATTTTCTAACTGTGGTTTAAGTTGGGGGACCATATTGTAAACGGAATAAATGTTGGGAGACTGTATTGCAAGTTTTAAATGTTGGGGGACCTAAATGCAAGTTTCAGAAATGTTCAGTGACCATTATTATACTTTACCCTAATATTAAATATAAGTTGTACAAGAAGCACATTCAAGTTCTAAGATACTCTTTTAATAGTTCTATTTCTCGCTCAAGTCAATTGCACTCCAGTTCCTTTTTTCCATTTCAAGAACCATGGAATAGAGATAACAAGAGTATCTAGCAATGTTAGAAATCCAACTCATAATGTAAGTTAAAAAGCAATACTTATACAAATGACAATCCCCCAATGTTAATAATATAAAGGTTGAGCTCCAAAAGCATTTACTGTTTATGCAATATTTAGCCCACAGTACATATCAGAAAGACTTTCACTCTCCCCCTAAACCTGAACTTGCTTGAGCACTTCGAAACTATTCCTTTGTTAATCCATAATAGACTGGTTTGTTCCCTGTAAAGGTGATAAAGTTCCACCCAAAAGCCGAGCCCCCAACAATATCTGACCCCTGAGGTTCACTGTCTTCAGATTGTAGTTTCCCTGTGACACTACTTGACTGGAAAGTCTTGGTTTTGGATGATACTGCTGGTGCTGGCTTAACGACTTGCGGCTGCTCCTGGGGTTTCTGCTTCATTCCGGTTTCAACTTGAAGTGTCTGGCCTCCGGGTGCATTGTTTACTTTTCTCTATGGAGGCTAACATCTGCTTGTACAATTCCAATAAATGCTGTCTCTGTAAATCACAAATTTGGAAAGCGTAACCTTTAGATTACGAATCAAACATTAATATCCTATGCACAGAGTGACCAGCAACAATAGATCATATTCTAAAGAAGTGGTTTCCATAACAAAATGTTTGACATCAGCAGCTGGCTAATTGCAAATTAATGTTATAAGAAAGTTAACCTAAAACAAAATTGCACTATTCTTTCGTAAAACACGTAGTATGAAGCCACATCAAGAGAGTGACTCCTTATAATACAAGTGACTCGAGAAATAGAGAAATTAATACGACATTATTTGATGTCCATCAGACTGGAATGAACCTTTTTAATGTGGAATCAAGATGCTCAGGTTCTTAAGTTTTTCCGGTAAAACAGATATTAACTTTTTAAATGCCAACAGGTGGATTAATAGAGTTAAATGAGGTTTCACATAGACAAGTCATATTGAAGTTTCCCCATCCAAGCCTTTTGCAAGTGGAAAATTTGCAATTCGACTTAAAAGAACCAAAGTTAAATAGTAGCTAACAGATGTCAAACAAACTAATGAGATGGTAGTACTTTTCTTTTCCAACAGGCTAAGACAATAGATAGCAGTAGCCAATCAAATACATGAAGACAGAAGTTTGCGACAGTTACCGAGCCACAGACAATATAGTATTAAAATGGACGAATTCACTAAGCCAACAGTTGCAAAACTTAACAAAGTGTATTGTGAGCTTACTTTCTTTGATTTCATCGGCGGCCTTGCAATTTTGAAAATCAGACACTCGAAGAACCTTCAAGGAACAGAAAATCAATATCACATCATATCAACAAAATGTTCCATGGATATAGAAAGCATTACTACTTTACAAGAAAAACAAAAACAAAATGTAATTCATACAAGCAATCCAGATTGATGAAACTACTTCAGACACACATAATTTTTCAGGACACACCTAGAGGATCTTCCCTTTACATTGTTAGGGCTATAACCAAACATCATGGACAATGGAACAAACAATCACAACTATCCTTTGTTAAAAACATAAACTTTGCGATTACCCAGAATAATAAGATCACTTTAAGAGAACCCCACAAAATAAGAACACCTAAGAACCCAAACTCAAGTCTTGAACAATGATAATCCAATTATACTGCCATATACAAATTATGGGGAAGTCAATGGGAGGCTAGTCCAGAGAACCGAAACTTGCTCACAAACAAGGGTTTCTTTTTCTCTTATTTTAAATCAACATGCAATAATAGGGGAAAATAGACAATAAAAACATTAAATAAATTCAAAAAAAGGAAAATTTTGAAAATATATGAATATACCTCGATGAAATGAGACGAAGATCTTTGAGAAAAAGGCGTATCTTGCAGTACGGAGAGTTTTGGTACTGGTCATTGCTGTTTTCTAGAGGTCTTTTCTTGCTAGCTGGCTGTTCTGGTACTGTAGGTGGAGGCTGCGGTGTAGGAGCGGCAGCGTTTGCTGTTGCGGTTGGTGGGTTCGGGGCAGCTTTCGGCTCTTCCATTCCATTTTCTCAGTTGAAAATAGCAAAAAGACCAGTTAGGTCTGTTTCTTTCAATCGCAGACCTTATGCCTGACTATTTAATTGTACAATTTATACATAAAGTAACTGAGTAATAAATTTTGATTTAACATATTTCATTATTATTAATTGAGTTAGAATCAAATTTAATCTTTAATGTATATAATTTTGACAAAATCTATTAAATAATATTTTGAGAAAAATGGTTTCTTCATATAAGACATTAATAACATTATTTTTTATTTAGTGTAAATGTTTAGTATTTTATAGAAGATATCTAAAATACTTGACGATTTTTGAAATACATTCGAAAGTTCGAAAACTTTTAAAAGAATTCATTCGAAAACTCGGCGTCGGGACACGCATGTAGTTTAGAAAAATCATTGGATCTTCTAGACATTTTTCAAAAATCGTGAGATCTTCCATGAGCGTCGTAATATTCATATTAAATGAGAAAATAATTTTTCTAACACTTTATAAGATTTAAAAAAAATATTTAATCAATTTTACTTTTTAGTTAATTAAAATATTCAATTATATCATGTTATAATATAGAAATATTATATCTTGTTTTTTTTAAAGGAGGTACTTTGTATTAATATATTTATAAAGTACACTACCTCAAGAACCTTATTAAAAAATCTACCTAAGCCTAAATAGATGAAAAAGAGTATGGCTTGAGGTAGTTGGAAGCAAAGTACAGTAATAGATAGTCATTCAAATATAGTAATAGATAGTCATTCAAACATGGCAAAATCCCACCCTACAACATACCATAGACAAAGAAAGCTAGTTATCCATCCATTGTACCCACTAACCAACCAATAACCTGCGAAAAAACCAGCAAACACTGTTGTTGGAATAACGATCAGAGCAGTTAAAAGCAGGACCAACACAACTAAGAAGCATTAGACCAACAATCAATTAAACATTATAGTAAAACCAACACAAAATATACATCAAAAGCTCAAACAAAGGCTCAAAAGCAACTACTTCGATCTTTACCAACAGTCACCAAGAGTAATGGACTCTATGGTTCGAACGAAATCTTGAACGACAGGAATCTGCATCGGCCATAAATAATTCCCCACAATCCTATCTGCAGCAAAGCAAAATAGAAAATTTTGTCCACTGAAAAAGACTCACTGTTAAACATTGATTTATTTATGCATATCCATATTTTTCAGATTATGCCAAAAAAGCCCAACTGCCAAATATGCCTAACCTATTTCCTGATGAATTGATTAAACCATACCTCTAATAAACCTCTAACATTCATTGGAAAAACTATATTTACCTTCCGCACACTACATCATCTTTGCCACACTTGCCATACCACCTCACAATATTACATCTTGTTAAATAGTTTAATAATTTGTAATCAATTATATTATTTGATAATCTATGATAATCGATGGTATTTAAATAGTTTAATTTCATGTTGTGATTTATTTGTTGATGTAGTCAGATTTGTTTGTAATTATTTTTGTCTTAATTTTAAAATGAATTTTTAATTTTTTTCTTTATATGATTTTGTTGCGGAAGACGGCTATCGGATAGAGCAAAATCGTAACTGATAATTTGAGAAAATAAAAATGAAGATAAAAAGAGACACAAAATTTACGTGGAAAACCCCTAAATAAAATAGGATAAAAACCACGGGCAACGGTAGAAGAATTTCACTATGAGAAAATAGGAATTACAACATCTCTCGATCTACCAAGGAGAAAACAATGATAATTCTCTCTCGATAAAAAGAAGAAAACAACTCTCAAGAAACTCTCTAAATTCTCTCTAGTATTGGAAGAAAGCTAGAATGCTTTGGGATGGTTTTGAAGCTAAATAAGCTAGGGTATTTATAGTTGAATCATAAGGACTAATTTGTAAATATCCTAAAGTCTAGGGGGCTAAAAGTGTAATTTTACCCTTGCAAATTTTTCCACAATTGCTGGCTACTTTTTTTGTGCCATTAATTGTGCACTTTCGGTGCCCCCAAGTTTGACAATTAACTTGGACTTTCAACAATCTCCCACTTGAAGATTTGATTGGAACAATCATATCTTCACACCATTCTTTCTACCTTATACCATCATGTTGCTTACATTTCTGACATGCCACAAGAGGATCGACACCAAGTAAATTTATCAGAATTGATTGCCTTCGTCATGAAATCTGCTATGTTGTCTTTGGTATGGATCTTCTGCATATCTACAGTTCCTTCTTCCACCTTTTCACGAATGAAATGGTATTGAACTCGTATGTGCTTTGTCCTTGAATGAAATGCTGGATTCCTTGCTAGATGCAAGGCGCTTTGACTGTCACAAAAAAGAGAAACATTATCTTGATTGTGCCCAAGCTCCTCCAATAACATCTTCAACCAAATTACTTCTTTACTGGCTTGTGTAGCTGCTACATATTCTGCCTCTGTTGTGGATGTAGCCACAAATGACTGCAATTTTGAAACCCAGCTTACAGCTCCACCATCAACTTTGAACACATATCCTGTAGTAGATTTGCTTTTATCCAAATCTCCTGCATAGTCAGAATCAACATACACATTGATAAGTAAGTTTGATCCTCCGTAACATAATGCAACATTTGAGGTCCCTTTGATGTATCTTAGGATCCTCTTTACAATATTCCAATGCTCTTTGCCTGGATTCGCCATGTACCAACTAACCACTCCCACTGCTTGTGCAATGTCTGGTCTTGTGCATATCATAGCGAACATTAAACTTCCCACTGCTGATGCATACGATACTCGAGACATCTTCATCCTCTCTTCTTCACTGCTAGGACTCATACTGGAGGATAATTTGAAGTTAATAGGAAGAGGGGTAGAAATTGGCTTACAATCTTGCATGTTGAATCGTGACAATATCTTCTTCAAGTAATTCTTTTGTGAAAGCCAAATCTTCCTATTACTTCTGTCTCGGTGAATTTGCATCCCTAGAATCTTGTTTACTGATCCCAAGTCCTTCATTTCAAATTCCCTAGCCAGTTGTGCCTTTAATTCTTCAATATGATCTTTGTTGGGTCCTGCAACCAACATGTCATCCACATACAACAGCAATATAACAAAATCGTTATCACCGGACCTCTTGAAATAAGCACAAGGGTCTGCATTAAGTCTGTTGTATCCAAGGCACATAATGAAGGAATCAAATCTCTTATACCAACACCTCGGCGCCTGCTTTAAACCGTACAGAGATTTGTTCAACCTGCAAACCAAGTTCTTCTTTTCTTTTTCTTCAAAACCTTCAGGCTGGAGCATATAAATCTCTTCTTCAAGATTTCCATGAAGAAAAGTTGTTTTAACATCTAGCTGCTCTATATGTAAGTTCAATGTAGCACACATTGCCAAGAGTACTCGAACTGTTGTTAGTCGAACCACGGGAGAAAAAATTTCATTGAAATCAATACCTTCTTTTTGAGCATATCCTTTGACCACCAGTCTTGCACGGTACCTCTCCACTTGATCGTCAACATTTCGCTTGATTTTGAAGACCCATTTGTTACCTATTGGCTTCCTTCCTTGTGGTAGTGGCACAAGGTCCCATGTATTATTTTTATGAAGGGCTTCGATTTCTTCTTGCATCGCTATCATCCATAATGAAGCATCTGAGCTGTTTATTGCCTCCTGGTATGTTGATGGCTCACCGTCTTCTGTTAAAAGGCAGTATGCAATATTACCTTCTATAACATAATCTGAGTGCCAATTGGGAAGTCTTCTCACACGATCTGATTGACGAGTTATTGGAGCTTCAGAACTCTCTAGTTCTTGTTCATCATGAGCTGGTTCTGCTTCAGAAGAATCTCCTTGTTCAACCTCCTTTTCCACATGTATATGAGTAGTCTCTGACTTTTTAGCGCTAGCATCGTCTTCTTTTCTTTGTAGTTTATCTTCTACAAAGATAACATCCCTGCTAATGATCACTTTACGGGTAGTGGGATCCCACAAGCGATACCCCTTTACTCCATCAGCATACCCCAAGAATTTGCATTTCCTGGATTTTGGATCCAACTTCGAAATTTCTTGGGAGTTGTACATCACGTACACAATACTTCCAAATACATGGAGGTTTGAATAATCATTTGGTTTACCAGTCCACATCTCCATTGGTTTCTTCAGCTCTATTACAGTTGATGGAGCTCTATTCACCAAATAACAGGCGGTTTTGACTGCTTCTGCCCAGAATGATTTTTCTAGGCCTGCATCCCTCAACATTGCTCGTGTTCTTTCTAACAAAGTATTTTACTCTGCCTAGGGATGTGACCGGTGCTTGCCATACGTCAGAGTGAACCAATTCTATAACACTTTTGCCTCTAGAATTTGATGTGTTGAATTTCAACCGGTGTTGCTTACTTGTTATACAATGCTCACACAAAGGAAGTGATACATTTGTTAAGCTGGGAAGTAGCTTTTGCTCCACAAGGACTTTCATTCCTTGTTCTGACATGTGTCCAAGTTTCTTATGCCATAACATTGCAGAATCAGAACTACATGAGGCAACAGAGGCTCCTGCTTCTAGCAAAGTCTCTCCCTTCAGCATGTACAAGTTTGCAGCTATCTTTTCGCCTTTCAGCACCACAAGCGCTCCACAGAACACCTTCATGATTCCTTTCTGTGTTTCAATCTTGCTTGCATTATTATCCAACAATCCGTAGAATAATAAATTTTTCTTCAGACCTTTCACGTGCCGCACATCTCGAACAACTTTAATTATTCCATCATACATCTTCAATTTGATGGTTCCCACGCCAACGATCTCTAAGGCATGATCATTGCAACTATACACAGATCCTCTTGATACACAGATCCTCCTGAGACAGGTTCATAATGATGAAACCATTCTCTTTTTGAGGTCATGTGATATGTTGCTCCAGAATCAATGAGCCATATATATGCAAAATGTTTTCTGCCTTCCACGGTGGTTGACGCTTCACAACATAGAGCATCTCCATCATCTGAAGTGTTTGCGGTGTTGCCTTGTGGATTGGAGT